CGCTCCCTGCCCCCCTCCCCAGCCCCACTCCCATTGCTACGTGGCCCCTTAATCCCCCCCATGCGAGCAACAAGCCAGGATGCGCTGACCTTAGGAGTGAGGGGTTCTCTGACCCCGCACCCCCTGGCGGCACCAGGAGCCCCCCCAAACCTCTCTAAGGAGGGAGAGCATCTCCAGTTTAACGTCTCCCCTCCCACTGGCCGCCCCACGAATTCTTTCTGCCCTCCGCCCCCGCCCCGCGCAGAGGTGGTTTGCTTCCCCTTTTAAATAAGAGCTTTAAATAAGCTCTTCCCTGAGTTTTAATGGGGTCCTAGGAGCCCCTCGTTGCCTTTGATGCCCCGGGTTCCACCTCGGGCCGGGCACCCTGCGCCCCCACCTCGCCTCCCTTTGGAAGGTGGGAGCACGTGGTTGCAAACGAAGCGGGTGAATTAAAACCCCCCCTGCGGATGCGGGGGCTGCTTCGTACTGCGAAATAAGCAGGAGGAGCTGGGTGCTATGGGGATCCCCCCCCTCGGGGTAAGGACTTTGCAGGCTTCAGGAGCACCCTGGTATCCACAAAAAGAGCCAGGTTCAAACCAAGGGGTGAAAAGAAAACCTGGGAGCCTGGTCAAGGGCATAAAGATCTCTGGGTGCCAGGCAGGACCTCTTGGTTAGAAGGCTCTGTCCTGCCTCTTCTGCCTGCGTTACCTGATCTCCTCAATCGGCTGTCGGCAAAATATATCCCTCCAGCGAGCCCATTTCTCCGTCAGGAATTCCCTTACCTCTTCTTCCTGGAGAGCAGAGAAGTTGGTTGGATGCAGGTAGCTCCCAGGCTGCTGTCAGGAGCCCTGTCCTGCCCTTCATCCAGGGAGCTCCTCATGCAGCCCCTGCCACCCAAAGGTCTCCCCTGCCCAGTCTTGCTCTGTCACCCAAAGATCTCCCCTGCCTGGTCTTGCTCCGTCACCCAAAGGTCTTCGTCACCCGGTCTTGCTCTGTCACCCAAAGGTCTCCTCTGCCCAGTCTTGCTCTGTCACCCAAAGGTCTCCCCTGCCCAATCTTTCCCCGTCACCCAAAGGTCTCCCCCACCCGGTCTTGCTCTGTCACCCAGAGGTCTCCCCCTCCCAGTCTTGCTCTGTCACCCAAAGGTCTCCCTTTCCCAGTCTTGCTCTGTCACCCAAAGGTCTCCCCCACCCGGTCTTGCTCCATCACCCAAAGGTCTCCCCCTCCCAGTCTTGCTCTGACACCCAAAGGTCTCCCTTGCCCAGTCTTGCTCCATCACCCAAAGGTCTCCCCCTCCCAGTCTTGCTCTGACACCCAAAGGTCTCCCTTGCCCAGTCTTGCTCCATCACCCAAAGGTCTCCCCCTCCCAGTCTTGCTCTGACACCCAAAGGTCTCCCTTGCCCAGTCTTGCTCCATCACCCAAAGGTCTCCCCCTCCCAGTCTTGCTCTGACACCCAAAGGTCTCCCTTGCCCAGTCTTGCTCCATCACCCAAAGGTCTCCCCCTCCCAGTCTTGCTCTGACACCCAAAGGTCTCCCTTGCCCAGTCTTGCTCCATCACCCAAAGGTCTCCCCCTCCCAGTCTTGCTCTGACACCCAAAGGTCTCCCTTGCCCAGTCTTGCTCCATCACCCAAAGGTCTCCCCCTCCCAGTCTTGCTCTGACACCCAAAGGTCTCCCTTGCCCAGTCTTGCTCCATCACCCAAAGGTCTCCCCCTCCCAGTCTTGCTCTGACACCCAAAGGTCTCCCTTGCCCAGTCTTGCTCCATCACCCAAAGGTCTCCCCCTCCCAGTCTTGCTCTGACACCCAAAGGTCTCCCTTGCCCAGTCTTGCTCCATCACCCAAAGGTCTCCCCCTCCCAGTCTTGCTCTGACACCCAAAGGTCTCCCTTGCCCAGTCTTGCTCCATCACCCAAAGGTCTCCCCCTCCCAGTCTTGCTCTGACACCCAAAGGTCTCCCTTGCCCAGTCTTGCTCCATCACCCAAAGGTCTCCCCCTCCCAGTCTTGCTCTGACACCCAAAGGTCTCCCTTGCCCAGTCTTGCTCCATCACCCAAAGGTCTCCCCCTCCCAGTCTTGCTCTGACACCCAAAGGTCTCCCTTGCCCAGTCTTGCTCCATCACCCAAAGGTCTCCCCCTCCCAGTCTTGCTCTGACACCCAAAGGTCTCCCTTGCCCAGTCTTGCTCCATCACCCAAAGGTCTCCCCCTCCCAGTCTTGCTCTGACACCCAAAGGTCTCCCTTGCCCAGTCTTGCTCCATCACCCAAAGGTCGTCATGGGGGGCATCGGGGGTTTGCCGCCCGCTGTCGGGGCTCCTCAGGAGCTGCTGGTATTGCTGGAAGATCTGTTTGGGGGCACGGACTCCATAAAATAGCTTCTTGTCCTCAATTTTCTAGCGGGTGGAAGACAAGGGCTGTCAGCGCTGGCAGAGCTGAGGGGCTGGGAAAGGGGCAGGGCCACCAGGGCCAGGGGCCAGGTGAGTCCTAGGGCTGGGGTCTCCCCTGGCTGCGCAAGTGGTCGATTTTCCAGCACTGGTAGGGTGATCAGCGCAGAGGTTCGGGTCTTTCCCATCTCCTGGGATGCAGGCGCCCAAACCGGGCTTGGATCCTGGGTACCACCAGGCAGCCGGGTACCTGCTGCCGCCCTTTCCTCCTGCAGCCCCTCACCTTGATGGTGAACCCCTTCTTGCTCAGCTCATCCAGGAACTTCTTCCTCTTGATCTCCTTTTCGCTGCCCGCTTCGTGGATGTCGCTTACCAGGACGAAATCCCACTTCTCTTCCCCCTGCCCCCAGGGAACACCAGGGAATTTTTGGGGGTGGCAAGCCGGGAGGTCTCCCTTTCGGCTCCAGCCTCTCAGAAGGTTTGCACCTTCGGCATGACTGTGTAGGGGTGCCCTGGGAACCGGGCGTGAGCAGGAGAACAGGGATGGGGAAACTGAGGCAGCTGCTGCCTCGGCACCGCCCCGCTCCCCAATTTGGGCTGCATTGCACTCGCTGTGAACGCAGGGGGAGCAAAGCTTACCAGGGGGGTTAACGGCTCTGT